AGCTGGTAAGGAGTAAATATAGGGACCTAAATTACCGGGGCTGCTGCAGCCCTCCAGCCCCGACAGAGCAGAGCAAGTCACTTCTCTCCCCTCTGGTGCCCAGGCTGACCATCGCTCCCTGGCTGCTGAAGAGCCTACGAGGATTAAAAATGCAGATTTTTTTTCATCGATAATCATAACAAAGCAGCCAGCACAGCAGCATGATAGGTAATTTATTTTATTGCATTTTATAATGCCATTGTCCATACAGATTACATGCAGCTAGATCTACTGTACAAGGGTTTACCGTCTGCCAAAGCAGACACACGGAAGTTCAGAGTACAAATACACAGCAACGCTATTTCCTTTATACAGCACGAGGGATGCGCAGCGAAGGCGGCAGCGGGAGAGAAGGGCCGTTTTATACACATCCCCCCTCCCCGCCACCCTCCGGCCCCCTCGGCCCCCTCCCGCCTCCCCAGCATCACCTTCCCACCCAGCGCCAAAGAGGATGGGGAAGAAAAAAGGGGGGAAAAGGAAAAGGTTGTGGCAGGGCTGGCGCTGCCCCGGGGCAGCCGGGAATGGGGATGCCCCCAGCACCCCCCTGGGTCCCTCCGGGGCCATCGCGGGCAGCTCTGGGGAGCGGAGGGTCCCCAAGCCCCCGGCTCTGGCCTGTCCCTCCCTTCCCCAATGCTTCCAGGACAAAAACCTAGACCCAGGGAGATCCTCTTGGGCGGTGGGGCTGGCCAGGCGTGTAAACAAAGCAAAGAAACCCTTTGGTTTAACGCAGGTTCAGCTGCTGCTTTCCCTTTGCCTCTGCTGGCCTCCCCAGCAGCCCCCCAGTGCTACCAGCACCCCTTCTCTTCAAGCACTGGTTTCCAGCCCTCCCCCAGCTCTACCCACTCTAGCTATTCAGGGGAAAAAAAACCATTGGGGAAAAAAAAACATGGAAAACTGAGTAATTCCTTCAGTGGGAAATACCAGAAAAATGCCTTTACTTACAGTGCGGTGCCCATACCTTCCCCTCGCAGAACTGCCCCGGGGCAAAGAAACGGGAAATAAACCAAAAAAAAACCCAGAAGAAACAAAAAGAACAATTCGTGTTGGTAGGTTTAAACCCAGTATATATATATCTCAGTATATACAGACATACAATTCTGCCACACATTGCGTTTGGTCCTTCAGCGCTCCCTCTCTCCCCTCCCCGCCTCCGCCGTGTGTTTGAGGTAAGACACGCAGAATTCTGTAAAATTCAAACTAGCAAAAAATAAACCGGAGGGGTGAGGGGGTGGGGGTGGGCGAGGCTGGGAGGGGCCGCGGGACCTGGCTTCGGATGGGACCCTGCAGCGGCGGCTGGGCTGGGTGGGGGTAAGAGAATGGATTAAATTTACCCCTGAGTATCAAACCGGGCACGTGTCCCGTGTATTTATTTATATATATATAATATATATAGTGCTCTTCGGAGCCAGGATGGCGGCTAACGACCTATAGGAATACACGGCGCGGAGGGGAAGGCGCCAGGTTGTCCTAGCGTGATGGTGCACAGGGATTTTGGCTGGACCTGGGGGGATCTGGAGGCACGTGGCTTGCCCGGCTCTGGGAGGCATTTCGGGGATGTCTGTACCTCTGGAAAAGCTTAAAAAAAAATCATCACACCCCGAGCAGGAGCCACAGCGGGTGCTGGAGGGCTCGCCAACGCCGGGCGCGCTTCGTGCCTGGACCCCCTTGGATTTTGCCCCAACCGTATGCAAAATAACAGGGGCTTCCAGAGTCGCTAAAAAATTGAAGTGCGTGAGGAAGGGGAGGCGAAAGGAGCCAGGAAGAGCAAACGAAGGGGAGCCGCTCCTGAAACACCCCGCAGAAAAACAGCAAGGGGGTCTGAACCCACGCACAGCCCCGCGGATGCAGGCAAGGACCCACCAGCAAAACAGCCCCGGCAGCGGGTGGGAGCCGGGGCCGGCAGCACCCACCGCCCTCCGCTGCAGCGGCTCCCGGCACCCATGCAAGCTCCCGAGCGCCTGCGGCACCAGCCGCGCCCGCACCCATCGGGCTGCAAAGCCTCCCCCTCCCTGGAAAGGATGAATGCACCAGGACGAGGCCAGGTCGTTCCCTCCCCAGGGACACTGGGGTGTCCCAGACACGCTGGAGCAGCACGAGGGGTGACACCGAGGGGTGGCACTGGGTGCTGGCACTACCATAAAGAGGCACAATTGTCCCCCGCCGGGGAGATGTGAACCAAAAACCCAAAAGCCTGGATGGAGACGGGCGATCCCCTGCCGAGGGTGAACCCCATCCACCCCTCCCCGCTCCTTCGTACGAGTAAAGCAGCAACGCGTGACGCCGGCCTCCCTCCCGCAACACCCGCCTGTGGCAGCTGTAAACTTGTTTAAAACAATAACTTAAAATCAAAAGGCTGAAAAGAAAAAGGAAAAAAAAAAAAAGGAAAGCAGGCAGGGAAAATACGCAGTGCCTCTGGCCTCGCAGCTCCTTTAGAGATGGGGTTCAGTTCGTGCCCCCCAGCCCGGGCAGGGTCTTTGGTGTCCGGCAGAGCCCGGGTGGGAGCCAGTGGTGGCGGGGACGAGCCAGGAGGGGCCGGAGGGCGAGGGGAAGCGGGCGGCCTGGCAAACCTCCTGGCCCTCGTACTTTGGCAGCAGCGAGGGAGCGAGGCGGCGGCGCGGGGAGAAACACGGGTCGAGTGGAGACACCTAGTGAAGGCCGCCGCGGCACCATGCGGCACCGCGCAGCGAGCACCCACGCACCGCGGCGGCCGCCCACCCGTGGGGCTGGGGAGGGCGGCTTTTGCAGGATTTTCTGGGTTTTTAGGAAGGGGAAAAGGCCCCTTTGCAACAGCAGCCGGGGGGATGCTGGTGACCCCCGGTAACAGCCCCACTGGGCTGTGCCTCCCCCGGGGCGGCTGCTGCTCCCCGAGGGTCTCAGCATCCCCTGAGGGTGCCGGGGGCACCGGGGAACAAGGCCGGGGGTGTCGCTCAGCCTCACCGATGGCTGCAGGGGGGAGCCAGGGACCCCCCCGTCTCTGCAGCCACTTGGGTATCGAGGATGCAGCAGGCAGCAAAAAGGGTGATCTGGGGTGTGGGCTCACCCTGGGGACACGTGCCACAGGGCCAAGAGCCCCTTGGGGATGTCACAGAGGTGATGCACAGGGATGAACAAGCACAGCCCCCCACGACCCACAGCTGTGCGTTGCCTTTTCAACCCAAAACGCAGCTCCCGGAGTACCGGTGCCAGGACCCCGGCACGGGGCTGGAGGCCATGAGCTGGGGCAGCGACACAGCCGCCACCGCCAATGCCTCAATGCAGGGCAGCAGGGACAGGGAGGGACGGAGCAGCGCGCAGGGTCGCTTCGGGAGAGCCCGGAGCTGGGCTCAAAACTGAGAGCAGCTCCATGTCCATCACAGCAACTCCCCCAAGACCCTGCTGCGTGCCAGGACAGCCAGTGCCAGCCCGGCCGTGCCGGGGAAGGTGCTGGTCCCCAAGGAAAGTGCTGGTCCCCGAGGCCAGCACGGGGCACTGGGGAGGCCGTGGCTGGCTGGCGGGGGGGGGGCGGCGCCGGGGGACCGAGAACCCCGCCGCCGGGTCCCCACATCACCACCACAGAAAGAAAAAGCAGGGAGAAGAGGGGTGTTTGGTTGTGTTGTTCTCGTTATTATTAATATTTCTTTTTTTTTTTTTTTTGGCATTAATACCATCTGTTCACCTGAACTACGGCCCTTCTGTCTCTAGAAATCTTTTGGTATCTCTCCGTCTGGATGCACACGCACACAAAAGGATAACGAAAAGAAAAGATGAAAGTGGGGGCCCCGGTGGCAGCACACTCAGCTCGCCGGCCACGGCCAGGTTCAGCCGCCACAGGGTTTCACCGGGGTCGGCTTTGCTACCAGCAGGACGGTCGAGCCGCGGCTCGCTGCTGGGCTCTGCCTGCGCCAGCTCCTCTGCGGGTGCCCCCCAGGAGGAAGCTTGGCGGCGATGGATGCTGCCTCCCCGCACCATTGCCTGGCCTCGAAGACCCTGCCCCGGCTTCGGAGGAGGAACCGGGCGCGCAGGGGACCAGGAGCCTTTCCCTGAAGTTGAAGTCGGGCCACCGGCTGTCCCCGTGTGGGCTGGGAGAGGTGTCACCCACTGCAGCCAACGTCGAGAAGGAAGCGGGGAGCTGCGTCCTCGCTGCCCGGCGCTGGCGGTCGGCTGGGGACGGTCATCATTGCTGGGTGCCACCCCCCCCACCAGCAGGGCCCGGGGGGCTCGGGGAGGGCGGTCAACCTGGGGCGGGCTGCTCCGCTTGCCAGGCAGTTTAGCAACCTGCTAGAGGTGACGAGGCAAAGGGGACACGGTCCCACCAACGTGCCGGTCCTCGTCCTTCCCCAGCCACGAGACAACGGTGCAAGCCCGACGTCCAGACCACGGCAGAGGACTCGCTCCCATTTCTGCTCTTTCTTCCCCCAAAGCTGGGTGGAGGCAGCGCGCGGGCAGGGTCCACGGTCCCTCCTAGTGCAAAACCCACTGGGTGACGGAGAGACGACAGTGGGTTCCTGCCGTTGCCTTCCCTCCCCAGGGCGGTCGCTGGTGGAGGCTCGAGCATCGCCGGGCGGCAGAGCACCACAGGGGAAGAGGGGACGGAGGTGCCCTCCCCATGCCCACCGTGCACAGGGAAGGAAGGAGGGACCATTTCGGACAGAAACAACCTACCATCCTCGTTCACCAGTCACTAACGAAGGGAGGAGGGGAGAAAAAGTCCAGCTCTCGGGTTTTTGCCTCACGTGTCACGGGACGTCCCCCACGGCAGGGGTCGGTCAGTCACTGGGGCTGCGGCGCAGGCAGTGGGGAGCGGGAGGGATGCACCGTCAGCAACAGGTTGTTGAACCAAGGAAACCCTTTTGCTTTGTGGAAGTGCCTTTAAAAAACAGGTTAACGCCGAAGGTCACCTTGGGGAGGTGGGAGCCGTCGCTTGGTCTCCAGCCAGGAGGGTGGGAAGGGTTTGCCCCTCGGTGGGGAGGAGGAAGGGGTCCTTAGGACAAGTCTTCCACCGGCAGCTCCTCCTCCAGGTCCCTGTCGTCGGGAATTGTCACATTCTGGTTGGTGGTGGCCATCAGCGAGACGGGTCTGCTGTCGTCCTCCGCCTCGGCAGGTTCCTCCTTCACGTGCACTGGATGGCTGCGGGGAGGGAAGCCTTCAGCCTCGGGCAGCCGCTCCCGCTGGCCACAACCCCACAAAGCTCAGTCCAAACCCCCTCCATCCCCATGCTGCGCCTTGCCCGGGGGGACAGGAGCCACAGGAGGCAACGAGCAGCTCCCGGTACCTGTAGTGCCACTGTCCCTTAGCTCCAAACCCCAGTAACACCCACCGGCACCGTCCCTCGTCCCCAGCCAGGCTGACCTGTACTGCTGCGGGGACAGGCGCGGGCTGTTGCTGCCGTTGCTGTTGACCTGCTCCACGGTGCTGCTCACGTCGTCGTGGCCCACGTGCAGCATGCCGCTGGCGGAGCTGGTGTTGATCATGGTGGGGCTGTTCAGCAGCGGGAAGCTGCTCTCCGCCAGCGCAGCCTGCAACAGAAAGCAGCAGCGGTTCAAGGCAAGGAGGATGCGAGACTGTGATAGAAAACGGGACTGCGCAGTTGCGAAGGTTTAGCGCCCCTGTATCCCTGCCAGGGACGGGACTGCAGCCTTACCTGGTAACTTGCATTAAGTGCTCCGTAACCAAGTCCTGAAATCATGTTTTTGACTAAAGTCGGACTCCTGCAGAAAGAGAGAAAGCAGAACGATGCACGGCTGAGCGCTCCCGGCCCAGGGACCGGGGGTTTGGCAGCGGAGGGAGGCGCGAGCGCAGCTCCCGGGCTGCGTCCTGCGGGAGAGGAGGACCCACCCTGTCATCTTTGGTGGCCTTCGCTTTTGGTACTCGTGCTCGTCGACGGTCCAGACGGCTCCCTTGACGTTCTCCACGCGCACGAAGCACTTGTGCAGGCTCAGGTTGTGGCGGACGGCATTCTGTGGGCAGAGCGGGCAGGAGAGCTCAGCGGCACGGCCCTCGCCCCGCCGCCCGGACCCCACCTCTTCCTCCCCATCCTCCTCCTCGCCCAGCCCCTGCGGGTCCCCACAGCTCCGGGCTGTCCCGGCCACGCTCGGCTTGTCTGCAGCCAAACACTCTGCAAAGCCACCCGGGGATGCTGCAAATGCTTGCTCACCCCATCAGCACCGAGAGGGTTTAGGAGCCGAGCCCCCGAGGTGCACGTGGGACACCACCTGCTTCACGGGCCCTGGCCAGACGCCGAGGAAGATGGGGACAGCATGGGACAAGGGACGACCAGTCACACCAGCAAGGAGCCGGGAGCAGAGCCACCCTCTCCGCTGCAGCTTGCTCGATGATGCTCGGTAAAGCCAGCTAATCTTTTCCTTTCTTTTTCTCCCCCCCTCTCCTCCCTTTTTGGTCCTTTCCCTCCCTTTCTTCTTCTAAATGTAAAATAAAGAGACACACACGTAGGCAGACAGCGCAGCCCCGAGAGATACCAGCTCCCTTTTCCCCTTCCAACTCCCTGCCATTTGCTACTGCCCCTATTTCATTACCAATTTTAATTTGCCTCTAATTAAATCCTGTGTATTTTTCCGACTCACTTGCTAATCCATGAGGGAGGCAGGAGGCTGGAGTGGAATCTCTCCGAGCTATAATTACAAAGGGCCTAATCACGCCGGGGCTCTGCCTTTGAATAAATTTCCTTGCATTAAGGTTCTCAGATTCTCTGCCTTGCAAATGAGAATGACCCCAATTTCAGGAAGTTGGCCTCGGAGGGTTTTTTTATATTTTTTTTTTTTTTTTATTTCGAGTCCTGATTCGTGATGAGAGACTAATTCGTTACGCTAAAACATTAACAGCAATTTAAAAGGTCGAACGGGGGCTTTATAAACAAAGGAGCCGGCCAACACAACAAGGCAAAAGGAGACACAAGGACTGAACCCCCCCGCGCTGGAAAGTGTTAGAGTTCCCGGAAACTCATCAAATCGCACTGTCCCCCCTTTTCTTTTTAATTTAAGGACAAAACCAAACAAAGCTCGGCTCCTTCCCTCGTCCTCCATCCATCCATCCATCCTCTGGCTGCTGCCCTGCGCCCACTGCCCGCTGTCTGCCCCGGCGTCCCCGGCCGCACCATCGTGCCTGGTGCTGCCGCCATGGCCCCAGCGAGAGCCGGCTCGAACGGTGGCACACCGTGGGGACGGGCAGGCTCCTGCTGCTCTCGCTGTTGGGCAAAGCCAGCCCAAAGGGGAAACTTTGCAAGCGGCTCCCAGGAGCCGGTTCCTGGGGAATGAGATTCGGGCACAGTCGGTGCTGTTCGATGTGGTTTTTCGGGGGGAACCGGGAACCCCTGGGTCGCACCAGGAACCCGCTGGTCGGCAACCAGCCCAGCTCCTCGGGTGATGCTTGGTGCGGCGCAGAGCCGGGTCCCAGCCCGGTGCCATCGCCGCTCCCACCCAAAGGCATACGCTCCATCTGGGACATGCCCTGCCCCGGGGGCCGAGGCATCCCTCATCTTCAGAGCCCGTGCTGGCACCACCCGAGAGGAGGGCCCGGCCGCACTCAGCACCGCACACATATACGTCCTGGGGAGCTGGAAATCCCACGGGGACCCCAGACACCACTGTGCCCCTGGGCCAGGGAAGGAGTGGGACAAGCCCCCGGCCCTCGCTCTGCCCTTGCACCGTCTCTGCAAACACCCCACTCCCTGCCTGCGCCCAGGGGTCTGAAGTCCGGCCAGGGCCGGGTCAGCCGCTGCCCTTGAACCCCTGTCCCCTGGCGAGCAAACACAGGACGTCCTCCCCTCGCCGGGGCCGGATCCTGCCCCGCGCTCCCCTTCCTCCTTCCTGTGCGCGCAGGGGACTCCTCATCCAAACAAAGCCCTGATTAAAGGCAAGAAGCATGGCAAAGCCAAAACCTTTCCCGCGTGTGGAGATGCAGCCCCAGTCCAGCAGCGCCCGTGTCCCCCCCCTCCCCGCTGTGACAGCCCCCTGCTTCCAGGCACTGGCGGGTACACGTTTGCAAAGGCAAAAGGGGAGATAAAGTAATTCCTGGCACCGGGTGAGATGTGATTCAGCATCACCGGAGCCTGGGATGCCCCGTTGCCGGTGCGGGGTGTTGGGCAGGGTGCCCCAGGACACGGAGGAGGTGCCAGGTGAGACCCCTGACATGGGAATCCTCCCGCCTGGTGCCGGGGCGTCCCCGCCTCATCCTAACGTGGCTTTTGTATTTTGACAGAGTATTTGTTCAGTGCCAGACTTGGCTGCTCTGTTTGCTTCTCATCTTTGTCTTTTCTAATGATGTTTGCTTTATGCCCCTGGCCCCGCTCCCCGTGCCGTGCCGGGGGTCTCCCCGTGGGCCCCCACGCTGCACCGCGGCTCTGCCCCGCCGTGGGGACGGGGTACCCACCTTGGCACCCACCTTGCCCACCCATCCCGGGGGGCAGCTGAGGCAGGAGACGAGGGAGAAGCTGCAGCACAAACGCTGGTTTTCCCAGGAGCGGAAATACATTATTTTTTCCTGTGTATCCCCCTCCTTCAAAAGCAGCCTGGCCTTGGACACAAAGTTGCGAAGGGAATCATCCCCCCACCAGCTCTTTTTAATTCCCTGCCATCCCTTTCTGTGGTGGAACAGGAAAAAATAAAGAGCAGCAAAAAGGGAACCAAAAGGGCTGGGGGATGCCCCTCTCTGAGACATCTGCCCTTGGGTAACATGGGGCGCAGGGGAGCTGCAAAGAAAAAAACCCCAAAACATTCTTCCTTTTAGCTCGTGAAAGGGAAGGAAAAAGGCATTTTCACCTGCCACGATCTCATTCCGCAGATGGGGAAATGGAGGCACGGAGGGGGGAAACGCTGCCCCAGACGGACCTTGCTCTGCCCCATGGCGAGACCCCGTCCTGGCAGCAGCGACGGCCGCACCGGGCTCTCTGCCCCGACGCTCCCCATCCCTTCCCCCCCTCTCCCCAAAGCCGGGGGTGTCCCCACAGGCCTGGCCGGGGCAGCAGCGGCGGGGGCCAGCGACGCGCCAGTGATGTGATGCTCCCCGCGCTGCGCGGCGCCGGCCTGCAGTGCTGCACGCGTGCCGTGAGGGGGACTCCAGACTGACGCAGGGCCACGGCCAGCACCAAAAATGGCCCAGGCACCTCTGACTGCTCCTGCCCCGCTCCTTCCCACCACCCTCCTCCCCACTGGACACACGGGGATGACCGGGATGGTCTGTGCCGAAGCCGGGGCCACCCGTAGCACTCTGGTGCCAAAACGCCTGTTATTCACCCAAAGTTCGCTGCAGAGAAGCAAACCCCTGCTGCGGTCAGCTCTGATCTGCAGCAGCAACGCACGGGGGCCCCGGGCTCCAGAATAACCGATTCCTCCCTTAACCCTGTCAAAATGCACCGTCTCGCTTGCACCTCACTTATTCTAATTTTTTTTTTTTTAAGTGTTAGTCTCCCTCTGCCACTTTGCTGCTTGTTACCCTGAGCAGGACAAAGCTGTGTCTTAGTAAATACATGCAGCAGGAAACAATAAATAAATCCTTCCCGGCCGGGGCAATAACCACTCCTTCTCACCACCACTCCTTTCCTCCAAGATGTGTTTTCTCACTTCTCTCGGATTCGGTGATTTCTAAATAACTGAGGCAGGAGCAGCCCCAGCGCCCGGGTGCTGCCCCAGGACACTGCCCCAAAATTCACAGGCATCAGCCCAGGCCAGTAACAAATGGCTCCTCGCTGCCAAAAACTTTCCCCAGAGTCTGCCCGTACAGCCGCCCCCACGGACCAGCACCCACATCCCCAGCTGCTGCTGAGACCCGGCCGCTGCCTCTCGCAGCCCGGATGCGGCATCTCCTGCTCGCAGTGTGCCGCCCGCCCCCGGGTTATCATTAACCTTCTTTGCTATTTCAAGCTATTTCAAGTGTCTCGCTCTCTTCTCTGCCCTTCTCCCGGCTCCGCTCCAGCCCCAGCTCTGCAGAAAGCCCCGGGTTTCTACAGCGCAGCCCTTTGCCGTATCCTACTGCATGGACAATGTGTCCCCAGAGACCAGAGATGCATTTTTTGGGGGAAAAACATGGGATTTATCCACAAAATCATTTCCTGCACCATCTCAGATCTGTGCAATGAACTGGTCCTTTACCACAGGTGCCCAGATAAGCTGGAGCACCTCCCGCAGCAGGCAGCCCCGGGTGGGATGGGGCGAGCCCCGCGGCGCCGAGCAGGGCTGCTCTCACCTTCCAGGTGGCCGTGTTCCTCCGGAAGTAGGCAAACATCCGCGTGAACCAGTTATAGATTTCGTTCAATGTTAGCTGCCTGTCGGGGGTCTCCAGGATGGCCTGGGAAACCAGAGAGGGGACAAGAGCATCACTCGCAACGCCCTGGCCAGGTTCGATGCCCATACCGTGGCAAGGCACGAGGGGCAGAAATGGAGGTTCAGCGGGCGTGGGGGCTCCCCCAGGACGGAGAAAGTGGGGGAGAGCGCAGCTTTGCCCGAGGTGCTCTGCAGGCAGGTCTTGGGGTGCAAAGCTGAACCCCACGGCACGGGGAGCCACTCACCTGCCGGATGAGCGAGGCGTACGTGAAGGGCGGCCGGACATCTGCATTTTTGTAAAACTCATGATTCTGTGCAAGTTCTGGAGGGGGGACAAGAAATGGGGGGGCAGAGGGTGAAGGAACCCACTTTGGGACCTGGGGACCGTGTGACAGAGGGTGCTGAGCCCCATCCCAGAGCTCACCTGAAGATATTGGGGTGCAGAACTTCTCTGAGTTTCTCCTGCGGATGGGTCCCACGTTGTGTAAAGTGGAAGAGCTGATGACGGAGGGGCCCTGCCGCAGGGGGGTGATGGGCGCCGTGGCGGAGGTGGGGGGATGAGGTAAGCCATCGGGGAACGTGTCGGAAGTGCTCTTGGAGAGGGTGGCACTGGAGACCAGGTTCAGCTGCACGGACAGGCGGGAGGGAGGGCGGGCGGTTGGGTACCGGCGTGGGGAAGGCAGGGGCTGGGAGAGCCCCCGGCACACCGGCAGCTCGGCAGGCCCTGAGCCGGCTCACGCCGCAAAGCGGGCAGCAAAGGGCTTGCAGGGGGGAGGCTTGCTGGGCTCGGTGGGGATGGGATGCAACCGCAGGACGGGATGCAACCATGGGATGGGATGCAACCGCAGGACGGGATGCAACCGCAGGACGGGATGCAACCACTGCACGTCTGAGCTGGCGGAGCAGCACAACACGCTGACGCAGGCTGCCTTTCACTCCTGCCTGATGCCTTGCACCAGCACAAGAGCACATGTGCCAGAGCGGGGTCAGGGCATGCCCATCCCGGGCAGCCCATCCTGCTAGGCCACGCAGGGCCGCGGTGACCATGCGCAGGGCAGGGAGGGGACGGCAGCCAGCAGCAAGGGGAAAGGGCAGGAGAGAGGGTGGCTGCAGGGACGTACAAGGGCAGGAGGGGGATGCACGCTTACAGGCTGGCTGAAAGGCTTTGGCTCTGAAGGTCTCATGTGAAGATGGGCCATCATTGCTTGGAGACGCTCGCTCTCCTTTGCCAGCTGTGGGAGGCAAGAAGCAGAAGGGAGATGGTCAGGCAGTGCCAGCAGACACTCGCGGAGGAGCCCACGGCCTGGAGGAGCTGCCCACCGAGCCCCCAGCCCTGGCTCTGGGCAGGCAGCATCCTCCAGCGTCCCAAGAGCCACCTCCTGCCCGATGCTGAGCCCTCCCGAGAGCCCCAGCGGGACCGTGGCTCTGCAGGGGGCTTTGGCACCCATCACAAGGGGCACGGGGGCCACCGCTGCTCCAGCTCCGCGTGTGCGGCCAGATGAAAAATCTATGGTGAAACGAAGGCATTTCTCATGCCTTCAGGCTGCCATCCACCAGCATGGCCCCGTCCCGGCCACCCACCACAGCCCTCACTCTCCGGGTGCTCTGGTCCCCACGCCCCGGTGCCAGCCATCCCCATCCCCTTCGCCCTCCTCCAGCCTCTGCTGCCTCCCGCTCACCAGCAGCTCCCTGTCCGTCTACCCACCCCTCCGTCCATCCGTCTATCCATCCACCCGGACGCGCAACATCGCTTTAATTGCGCGCTCCCGCCTGTTTACTCCCCGGAGTGCGGAGAAGGGTGAAATATTCACTGTGGCACCAGGAGAGATTTTGAGCCCGGCGGAGGCGATGGGATCTGACACCCGCTCTCTTCCTGTCGCCTTCCCTTTCCACCGTGACCCCTCAAGCTCAGGGCTTGGCCGTGTCCCTGCATGCTGCCATCTCCCCCCCAGCCGAGCCCCCTCCCCGGGCAGGCACCGGAGCCGGGCGAGGAAGGAGTTAAAGGCAGGAGCCAGAGCTGAGTTTGCTGCAAGTTTTGAGCAGCTCGGATGCTTTCTCGCTGTCGTGGTGCTCATTAGAGCTGACAGGTCTCCCCTCGTGATGCAGACGCTCTCCGCCAGCACAGCGGGAGCTCCGCGCTGAAAACTTTATAATTGGTAGCTCCGGTGGCAGGTTCTCCTCTCTGCACACGCAGCTTTCTGCTCGCCTATCAGCTTTTTTTTCCCCCCCTTCCTTTCCCTCCCCTCTTTAAGCCCCAGTAATTGCTTTCACCCTCTCGCTTTAGCGAGGGAGAGGACGCGATTGCACGGCTTCGCCCAGGCGGCTTTGCAGCCTCCCCGCCCGGGGACGGTTTTGCTGCGTCCCCCCGACCCCGCAGCCCCTGTTAGTGTAACTCTGGGCTGGAGGCTGCCGCGGCTGCCGCACATCGTGGCCCGCTGCCCCCAGGGCTGGCATCCCCCGCGATGGTACCCATCACCGTGCACTGCGATGGGCACAAACCACTTCGAGCTCCTGCCAGCCCCTGGCCGAACAGCCAGGCACCCAGATGCTGTCATGCCATGGGGGTCTCGGTGAGCGACCCTCTGACAGAGACCCCTGCCCCGTCCCGCCTTCCCCCCCGATGGCATTCAAGTCCCAAGATGAAAACCCTCGTTTTCCTCCCATTTTTCCCCCTCCCTTCTCTATTAACCGAATTACGCATGGCACATCAGGGAGTTGGAGATGCTGGTAAAGGCACTATTTAAAGAACTGGCTTTCCAAAAATAGCACCCCGAAGTTGGGCTCCAAAGACCACGCTCAGCCACCGAAATAAGTGGCCTGATTTCCAAAGAGCCCAGCAGCCCCGTGGCTCTCGCTGCGGCGGCAGGGCTGGGCACCAGGGCCAGGGCAGAGCTCAGGTCCCGCCTGTGGGCACGCACCCCCCAGGCAGCATGGGCCTTCCAGGTCTGTGGCAGCTCCTTCTGCCCGCAGGGACGCTTTGGGCGGGAGAGACAGCTTGTCCCTTTCTCCAGCCCCACCATAGCTGTGCAGGGATGCCGGTATTGGAGGGGGAATCAGCTGGAGGGTCCTCCAGGTCTTGATCCCCATCAGGACCGTTGCCTGGCCAGGGGCAGCATCGCTGTTTGGGACGGATGCTTAAAATGAGCCCCCGTGACACTGGGGCAGCTAGTTATCTTGCCAGACTGGTCCCCACCCTCGCTACTTCCCTCCTGCAGAGAGCAGCCAAGTCACGGCACGCAGAGTTGGAAAGGAGGCAGCTTTTTAAATGTGCATCCTTCGAGGCTGGGGCGGTACCCACCTGTATTTCCAGCTGCTGTACCACTTGCATCTGGACTCGACACTGGGCCGTGCTTCGGTCATCAAGTGCATGTTCTGTATTGAGGTGTCTGGGGAGAAGAACACGGGGGTTTACGCCTGGACGTGCCCGAAATGCGGCCCCCCTGCCAGGGCCACACCTGGGATCAGCCCCGACCTGCAAACTGCCTGTACCGCAGCAACGCCCGGGGATGTCCGTGAGGCGCTGCCCGTGCCGGGAACGTTCCGGCACTGCTGCCCAAAGCACGACGAGCAGAAGGGAAAGCGAGGTACGAAGGCGGCCAAGCAAACTGGGCTGTGCCTCCTCCCCGAATCCAGGCTGGAGGGTGGCAGCGGACAACCAGCCCTGCCCCTGGCAGCCCCGCGGTGTTCAGGAACAGCCACTGGTTGATGGAAAGTCCTTGAGAAGGCTGCTGGCAGGAGGCACCCAGGAGGACCTGAGGAGCAGGTTTTCAGGACAAAGGTGGCATTATGGAGGTTTACTTACACCCTCTAAGGAAACCCTCGAAGGCAGAAGGTGACATTTCCAGGGTGCTTCTCATCCTACTGCTTTCATGCCTTGTGTTTATACGGCACTTTATGTTTATAAAGCACAAGGACCTTTGGTCCTCACTGCCCTCCCTCCTTCTCGGGGAGGGGAAGGGCGCCTGGCAGAGACAAGCAGCTGGTGACGGGGACGCCACTTGCTGCAGCCAGGGACATCCCAGCATCGCCTTGTGGAGGTCCTTGCCCCTAGATCCAGAAAGCAGCAGCCTGGGGACGCAGCCAGCCCCGCAGACGTCGCATGGCCAGGCCACGTCCTTGCTGGGTTGGGTGCAAACCTGGGGGTTCCTCACCGGAGCAGGGGGACAGGTCGGAGGGGGGATGCTGGGTGGCAGGGCAAGCTGTACCAGGGCCACCCCAGGAACACCCCAAAAGGTGGCATCTGATGCTGGGAAATGCACAGCTGTCCCAGAGCCATGGTCCAACGCTCTCCAGGACCAAGACTGAGATATTTCTGCTGAGACAGCCCAGGAGAAGGTGCCTCAGGAGTATCTACCCTTGGTCTGGATGCGGAAGACAGCGGGAGTCTCACCCGGCTGTTTGCGAGACTTCCAGCCCCAACTTGCAAAAACAAGTTAGGTAACTGGGACCAGCTGCCAAGCCTGTATGTGAGCAAACCCCGCCGGCGGCTCAGCCCCGCTCCGCAGGGCTGCGGCTGGACCACGCCGCCTGCTCCTCTCCCCGCACGGCAGACCAAGGGCATGGCTGCTTCTCCAGGGAAAAAGCTATCGAGAGCCTATCTCACAGGCTTTTATAAACCACTGCTCAAAGGACGCACTGCCCCTTTCCACCCCAACGCTGAGGCTTTCTGAGCTCCATCACCATGGAGGTGATGCTCAGAGGAGGCTCAAAGCCAATGCCCAGACTCAAAGCAAGGTCCGTGCTGCAGCTGGGCTCAGCCTTTGGGAGCTGGAAGTTTTCCATCTGTCTGTCCCACACCCCGACACGTGCTTACGTTGGCAGAGGGGACAGAAACACTTCACTAGCGCTGTCGGGGAGGCCGCCCCCCGGGAAGCTTGCTCCTGCCAGCACTAGGTGTGCTTAGGGGCCCAGGCAGGTGGGACACAGCGCGCAGGGACCCTACAGCCCCGGCCGGCACAGCAAGGCTCTCCCAGTGCCACGACCCAGCCCGGCCATCCCCTGCCAACCCCAGCTCCAGCTTCCAAACCAGAGCTTCCTCATCTGCCCCGTGCCACGTAAACACGCCCAGAGAGGCAGGAGGAGAGGCCTTATCTAGGTTCACCCTGCGAGGCAGAGGAAGGAGGAGGCAGAAGCCCGACTCATTCACTCACTGAATCACCACCAGGCAATGCTACCCCAGCCTCCCCAGGCTGCCTTCGCACCTTCTCATCCTCCTGTACAAGGCCTCTGCCCAGCTCCTTCCGTGGGAACGAGGAGGTCGGTGCAGTCTGAGGGATGCTCCCACCGGAGCTGGCCCCAAGTGCATGGCAGCGGATGGGATCAGTTTGTAAAACCCCAAAATCTTGCCAATGGAGAGTGAAGCGCGCACCAGTGCGTCTCGGCCACCGCGCCGAGCAGCCAGCCAGAGGCGGGAGGGAAGGAGCAAGCAAGCCCGTCAGTTCCTTCTGATGTCTTTGCTAAAAATCCTGGCTACAAAGAGATCTAATTGCAAATGAACTAATTAAGTAAACCTCTGACGAAGCGTGAAAACAATTTGTTTGACCCTGACGCTAGCAGAGGGCTCTTCGACAGCGGAGTTAATCAGTCAGCGCTGGAGCCCACAAGCGGTGTCAGCGGGCTGCCGCGCCGCCATCTGCTTCCTCCCCTCCTCTCGCCCCCCAGGAGGGGAGCTGCAAACTCCCCTCGCCTGCTGCCTGCTCCTGCCCACTCCTGCCCGCTGCACTGGGTCTCTTCTCCTCTGGCTACAATCTCTGCTGTCTTCTCCTTTTGCATGGGGCCCCCCGGCTCTGCGCAGACAGACTTGGGGGTGTCTGGACCCATTTCTGCCAGCCCCATGCTGTCCAGGCTCGAGAGCACGGGCTCTCCCCTCCTCTAGGAAAACCTCCCCCAAAAAGGGGAGCACTTACTTGACAAACTGTCCCAAGTCCTCACAGAGGGTTTCGCAGCCAGGCCACTTGCACTCTCCGTGGCCGTAGAGCGGGTGGGAGCTAGGGGTCTCTTCGTGGGAAGAGCTGCAGAAGACAGAAAGGGACTGTCAGACGGGGCAGCTGTGATGCTCCGGTGTTCCCATGCACAGGGCCAGCCCTCGGGGACCCACAGGAGACCCCGCAGCAATGGCTCCTGCCCTCCGTGGGCACAGCAAAATAGCGCTAGGACTTGTTTAAGGGGCGGGCAGAAACCCTCCAGCCCTCCCAACTCCGTTGCCAGCCCCATGGCAAAGACCACGAAGCACCAGGGCCTGACCCAGCTCTACCTGTCCCTTCTCGGCGTGTGCATGGTGCTCTGTCCATTGGGCAGAGGGTGATGGGAAATGGGAGGCGAGACCTTGGCGGCCGAAAACGAGGTAGAGTTGGAGGTGTTGGTGGTGAGGTCGAGACCTTCTTGCTTAATGCTGTCCTCGACGGGCTGGGCGGCCGTGACCTCCTTCCAGAGCTGCTGGAGGTCCGAGGGGCACACAGCTACGGCACAGGGAGAAAGCGCCCGCCGTCAGCAGGGAGAAGGAGCAGCACCCACTGGCACCCATGCACCAGGCTGGCTTGGGACCCCACAGGCTCCCTCCCTGCCCAGCCGGCGCAGCTTGGCTCCCCGAAGCTCGGGCAGCCCAGCACGGACTGTGCACTGCGAAATCATCACCCAAAGCCGGGCACAGCCCCATCGGGAAGCCCAAAACAAGCCGCCCACAGTGCCCATGGAGCCCCCCAGAGCTGCCCCCAGAGGGGAGGAGACCCTGGCTCCCCGCACCCCTCTGCAAAAGGAAGCTGGGGGCCCAATCCTGCACACAACCCACCTCAAACTCTCGCAGTCTACTCCAGCCATTAATGCAATCAGGCCCCAAACTTTAGACAGGCGCATTAGAAAAAGCAATGCCACCAGCCCGCTCCCCAGCCCCATTCCCAGCACTCCCTCGCTGCAGGGAGAAGCTGCAGCCGTGGGGGCCCCCCCAACCCGGGCAGGGGTCCTTACCTTGGGGCAGGGTCTGCAGGGGCACGGTGCCCTGCCCCGGCGGGAGGCTCACCAGCCCCTGGCGCTGCAGGTTTAACAGGTGCTGCTGCTGGAGCTGCTGCATCTGCAGGAGCTGCTGCTGGAAGGCCAGCTGCTTGTTCCCTAACGGCTGCCAGGAGACAAAAGGGAGAAATCAAAGCGCGTTATTTCCAGCCTCGCAGCAGAAGCCTCGCAGGGGAGGCAGGGGCCCAGCGGTGTTCACGAGGGATGCCCGCGGCGGCGGCACCGTGGCCGTGCATGCAAGGGGAAGGGAAAAATAAAGCGCTGAAAACAGAGGGAGCAAGCAGAGCTGGCAGCTTTCTCAGAGCAGAGATCCAGCTCTGCCTGCAAGATGGGCAAACCCGCAAAACCGAGGCGTGGGCTCCCACGCAGGGAGGCTCAGCCGCAGGGCGAGCTCCTGTGGGCACCAAGCATCACTGAAGGAAAGGGGCTCCCAGCACCCAAAAGGTGTCCTAAGACTGCCCAGATGCATTACACCATTCTTTAAGCAGGGAAACGGTCCCTATTTACCAAAAATGACCACTATGAGCCCCTCCTTGGCGGGAGGCAGAAAACAACCGTCTGCAGGGAAGCAGCTGCCCAGCGCTCCCAGCCCCCAGGCACCAGCCCCGGTGCCCCCACCCCAGCCACGAGCATCCCCCAGGTAGGTGACTCTCCCACCCATCCCCAGGCGCTGGCCACGCTCTGACCAGCGTAGCCAGCCCTAAACTAGTTAGGCAGGGCGGTCCCCAGGGAGGCACCAAGAAATCCATGAGAATTAACTGAAGGGGAGAGAATTCAATTAGGGATGGGGACAGGCAGCTGCTAATCCAAGCTGGCCACGAGAGGGAAGCTGCCCCCGGCCTGCCCGGCCTCATTAGCGGGGCAGCCGTCTCCGTAACCCCTTGAACCCCTCTGTTTGCGCAGACGTTGTTTGCAGGTTGCGAGGAGCCGGGCTGGCAGGCAGCGAGCCGGCTGTGCCGCACCAACCAGCCCCAGCGGCAGCCCAGCTCCTCCATGGCAGCTCCGTTATCCTGAGCAAGAAAAGGGCTGGGGCCGCTCTCGGAGAGCGAGCCCCCGCCTCGGCGGAGCACACCGGCCAAGCCCGTGCTAAAGCGCTTCCCCCGATCTCGCCGCACTCGTGAGTGGGGGCACTTCGCAGCCCCATCGCTTGGCCCAAAAAGAAGTATTTTCATGTCCATGTTCTTACTGATGAGCGCAAGAGCTTTGCAATAGGAAACGTCCTTTTTATCTTCTGGCTGGGTCTGAGCATCGCGGGGATTTAGGCCTCCGGTGTGCCGGGGATCCCAGGGAGCTGGCACAGCCCCACCTCCCTCTCTCCATCATCCCCGAGGCTGCATCTCACGCTCTGCTCAACAGGGAACAGCAGACAGACTCTGGGGCAAACCCAGTTCACAGCTTCGTTTGCAATCAGCACGTGCTGCTGTACCTGAAGCAGCGCCCCGGGCCCCGTGGGATCCAGGCGGTCCCCTGCAGATGCTCCCGATGCTCGGCCGTGGCTTTGTGAAATGGAGGGTGAGGATGGGCTCCAGGCACTGCCCTGCAAAATCCCTGTGGTCTGCAACATCAGGCATGACTGAGTCCTGTCTAGGGCACAGAGAGAGTTTAAATCTGGTTTCTCAGCCTCAGAGGGATGTGTGGACTCCTCCCTGTCCTGTCCACCTCTTGGCCACGGCAGAATTGTCCCCCCCAAGTCAGGTCCAGACCCTCTCTGGCTTTGCCTCAGTCCTGCACCTCTGACGCTTGAAAATAAAGGCATAAATCAAAGGGATTTCTGCTCAGTGACAAGAAATCCCTCTGCTCACCCTCACTCCTGAGCAAGGTGCTGAGCCAGGAGGGCTTCAGGCCACGGGACCGGAGGAGACCATGGACCGTAGGACCACGATGGAGGAAAAAAGGCAGGACCAGGCTGTGTGCCCGACGGCCTTAACACAGGCAGCGCTGTCCCCCACGGTGTCCCTGTCCCTGCAAGGGGAAGCTCTGCCACTGCGTGGAATGGACACGCATGTCCTCGCCTTGGTTAGAAACGGCAGCTGGGACGGGACGGGCTTCTCCTCCTCTTCCCAGCTCTGCCGACGCCCTCCCCGGGGGCCCGGGGCAAGCCCAGGCTCTTCGCAAACAGAGCCTCATTCACGGCACTTCCAGGCTGCGGAGCAGGAGGAAATTGGGAGCGGATGAAGTCAGGAGGATCCCCAGGGCACGTCGCCTGTGACGCGTAGCCTGGCTGGGGTCTCCCGACCCAGCCTCCCTGGAGCTGCAGCCGGCGGAGTCAGAACCCCCGAGCCCCGGGGGACCGGGCAGCCCCGACCCAAGTGTGGTTCTGGCAGGGACGACGCTGTCCACGTTGAACCTGCACCTTCCCGTGTTTCAAATCCATGTGCGCATCCTTCCAGCTTCACCAGACCACGAACACAGGGGCCAGTCCTAGGAATATGAGTCCTGGTTCCCAGCGGATGCACAAATGCCCAGGCTAAGCCAAAACACGGACCACTTCTCTCTGGGGAAGCCACTTCGCCAGTCCCTGGAGAGCAACCGCTGCGTGGCAGAGCCAACAAACTGCACGGGCTCCAACCCACTGAGTGCAACGGGTGAAGAGGTGCACCCACATGTGGACCTACCCAATGGCACCCACCAGCCTGGGGCTTCTGAGTCAAGAGTCTGTCTGGAGAAGGCAGGGCAGCAAGAGCCTGAATTTCAGCCCCAGCCTTATCGAAAACCTCTCTTCCCGGCCATCGCCGTATGGGCTTCACTCAGCTCCTCTCCCCTTGGCAAGCCCCAGCCTGCCAAACGCCGGCTGAGTCCCTCCCAGAGGGGACACCCCTGCACCTGCCGGAGGAGCTGGGTCTGTGTTAGGGCCAAATCCTGCATCTGGCCCTGCAGCCCCCCATCCCGGTCCTGCCTCTTGTCCCAGCGTGGGGGCTCGGGGTCCGGAGCATCGCCTGTGCTCGGCGTACATTAGACGCAGATGACTGGGTGCAGCTACCGGGGTAAGAGCTGCCGTCACTTTGATTTATGAGCACATCAGGAGGAGTTTTGGCGTGACACGCGGGACTGACAGGAGCAGTTCATTAAGCTGACACCGAGGTTAGGCAGCAGGCAGCCCCCCGTGCCACCCCCCTCCCCTGCCCTGCCAGCCTCGGGAGAGGGACAGCCCCCGCCATCGGCTCTGGGGGCACACGGAGACCCTCTGGCCTCGCGCCCGGGCGATTTCAGGGTCTCCGCACCCGGGCACCACTTGCAGCAGATGGGCTTGGAGAGGCAAAGTGGCTGGGGAAAGAGCAGAACGGCAGACACCGGCTTCGCGGCCGCTTGCCATGAGGACGAGGGGCCCGGAGCCATCTGAGCCCTGCACCGCAGCTCCTCACTGCCCCCACCATGCCCAGGGTGCTGCTGGGGGTTCACCCCTACACCCTAACGCAGGAAAAGGCTCCGGGACGGGCTGGGATGTGCTGCAGCTCGGCCCCATCCCAGCAGGATGCATCGGCTGCCTTGCTCATCCCCTTCCTCGCACCCCCCCGCCACGGCACAGCTCCTCGCAGACCGCGGACACAAAGCACCCCCCACATCCTCTGGGACAGGATGCTGCCGACGGGCGCTTCCGACACGTTTCCATCCTCCGCACTCCTCTTTTCCTGCTCTCCCCTTCCCCGCGCCCGCCGGGGGACCTCCAGCCGTGCCGCTCCTCCTGGGGAGATCTGAGCCGCTCCTCCACGAGAGGCTGCTACCTGCTCCCGGCACGGCAGCGGAGGCGGCACAAAGCCGTTCCCACCTGCTGATCCCCCTCCACGCTCGCAGACGAGCCGCTGACTTACAATTACACTGAGGCGAGTCCTTGAAATCAAGCAGAGGGAAAGCAGAAAGCGCTCGGTTTACAAACCTTGCAGTGGAGCCGTAATTAAATACCGCCATGGATTTCCATGAAGGAGACGACGCCGGCCAAGAGCAGCTCTGTGGCGGCATCCCAGACACGCCAGCTATTCCCCGTGCCGTCGGGGGAAGCAACGGCATCGCCGTTCCCAGCAGGCACACACTGCTGCTGAACGCAGGCTTTATTAATAGCAGCTGCCCAAATTCACGGGGTGAAGCCGACCCCACAAAGCCCGGATGGGGGTTCTGGGGAGGGGAAACACTACAGCATCCACTCGCGGGGACCCCCTCGCTGTTTTTCCTGGCCATGGGGTGGTGACACTGCCGGGAGCTGGACGCGCACCCCTTAAGCAGCATCTAACGCTCCTTCTCCCCCGCCGGCCACTCAGACTTTCTTAGTGGATAAATTTCTCATCTCCTCTGTACCATTTAATTAAAAGTTAACATGCGCTTTTTAAACCATCAGCCCACTACGCAAGCCCTTTGTTAGAGCTTAATTATATCCCCGCTCGTTGCTGCAACATAACATCGCCACGGCCAAGAGGAAAGTCCTTGAGGAAGCTCAGATTTATGCCTCCCCCGTTCCTGGAGCACGAGCAGCTACTCCAGCTCCTGGAGATGGCTCCGATAAAGCCTGACCCCGCACACGCTGCATAAATACGCCAACATCCCACACTGAAAGCCCAGGTCAAAGTCTATTGAAGGCTCGAGTGGGTGCTGGCTCGACCCAGGGGGGCCCCCCCGGGAGCCGCTCGAGCCGCCCTATTCCGCCAGTGCTGGCGCATGCTTTGCCGTCGAGCCCCCGCTGCAGCCACCCCAATGCGCACTCCGGGCTTAAACATTTTCTTCCTCAAAAGAAAGCTAAATTTTTAAGTGCTGAGAATTGCTGAGTGTAAATCGGGGTGCTGGATTTCAGGAGGGGTGATTGCAACGAACAGCCCCAGCACCCCATTCCCCTGCTTGCTGCTGACGCTCGGCCGGGACAGGGACCGAGGGGCTCAGCCAGGAGCCTAAGGAAGGCTGCCCGATAGAGAGGGCAGTGATGCCAGACACACAGCAGCGTGCACAATGCAAAATACCCCCGATGTGGGCCATGCACACCAACCTGGGGACAGAGAGAGGGGCAAAAATAGATAAGGAAAAGGAAGGGAGCGGTTGACCCCCAGCCTCCATGCGACCAGCACATCCCCAAACCCGAGCATTGCTGATACAGCCGCAACACCTCCGAGTGCGTTACTATGGGAAAAGACAGTAAAACCTGTCCAGTAAAGGGAGTTATACAAGACTGATGCAATCACACCCGCAGAAACACTTCTCCACCATGCAACCACCTCCCCAGCAAGGGCCCACCGCTGCCGACCTGCTCACGGGGGGCTGGCAGCATCCCCCGCCCGAGCATCTCCCATTGGAAAAGCCCTTTGCCGGCATCGCTGCTGTTTCACGCAGCACTTGGGTTCTGCAGAACCGCCTTTCCTGGCAGGAAAAGCCCTGCTTTGGGTTCCCACCTGCCCAGCCCTGCCTGCCTACTTGCCAGGGTGCTGCTGTGCCAGCTCTATCAGGACTGGGCTGCCCGACCCGAGCCGCGCCGAGAGCCTGCCCAGGGCAGGGCCAGCGCGTCAGGCAGGGGCTGAGCCGAGCCTCCCCTGCCCTGCACCACGAGGAGGATTTGGGGAGCCCTCGCTCTGTGCCGGGGGGCAGCGTCCTGCCCCTCCCGCCGGGGAGGGTCCCTCAGCTCCGCCGGAGCTGCCTGCCCACACCCGCCGACTGCACCGCTCCCCGCACCCGCCCCATAGTTTCTAGATGCGCCAACAAGGGCCCGGCGCTGAGAACGACGCAGCTCGGTGCACGTGCCAGATCGCAGATGGGGAGGAGGAAAAGGAACCCCCAGCGCCCAGACCAGCCGCCCCAGCACCCCCCAGGAGCAGGATGCCCCCGTGTCCCGTCCCCGCTGGCTCCCAGCCGGCTGCCCTGGGTGCTGGGATTCACGCACACCTTGTTTTGTCCTGGTCCCCCTTTTATTTGCTGCCAGATCTGATGGCCCAGAACCCATCTGTGTGAGCTCACCTCTTTGGGTTGCTGCTTTCCGGCTTGCTGCTGTGTCAATAGCTGCAGGTGAAGCTGCTCCTGTTGCTTCTTGTAGTATTCCTGCAACTGGGAGGGAGGCAGGGACGGGAGGGGAGAGAGCAGCCCGGATTAGCAGCAGAAACACCCTGCTTGCATCTCCCTGCCCAGCACCACCCCGTGCCCAGCACCAGGCTTTGCCACAGCCATGCCAGCTCCTGGCACCACGCCGTCAGGGCAGGCTCTTGGCTGCTGCTTAAGAGGAAAAGCACCCGCTGAAGGAGTCACAGCTGCAGAAGCAGCCTTGGGCACGTGCTCCTAAGGGCTCTGGATCCCCACAGCAAGTAAAATGCCCAAACACCACCAATGCAAACCTACTGGTTTTTAATGCCAACCGGTTGCCCTGGCTTTCTGCCACCGGCCGGTCCGGGAGCCTCAGCCTTGCTGGGCCCCAGGAAGGAGGGTCGCAACCCCCCGGCTCAGTAATTCCTGTGCATCCCGGGGATTTTGCAGCTGTCCTGGGGGGGCTGTGCAATGGGGGGATATGAAACACCAGGAGGTGGGCAACCCCCTTGAGAGAAGGGGGCCCAGGCACTCTGGCACCTAACCCAGTGTTTCAGCAGCAGAGAAACCCCATTTTCAGCATGGTGGGACCCCAAAACACCCTTGGCAAGAGCTGGGGGGCTCCTGGCTGGGAAGGGGCTGGGAGCAGCCGCAGCCCCTGGTGTGGCCGGTGCGATCCCGTGAGCGCCGGGGGCTCAGACCTGCATCCCCCTTCACGGGCACCACGGGAAAGCCCAGGCAACCCGGCTCCTCACAGCACCCCAGTCAAAACAGGGTTTTGCTGGGCCAGTAAAACAGAGAAAAACACCCTAGCCCCGTGATGAGCCACTGGAGAGGGTCCCAGTCTGCAGAAGCCAGGACCGGGACCTGCCGGTGTTGACGCCAGCTCTCGCCCCGGCCCCTAAATAAACTGTTGGTGATGGATTTGCTGTGCGCAGGAGGGGCCGGAGGCACAGGGAGGTCAGCGAGACCCGGCGGCCCCCTCCCAGCTGGCCCGTACCCCCGCGCAGGGGCGACGGCGGCGGCTGACAGCGCTGACAGCAGCAACTTTGCTTTTTCTGTCGGCGAACAGGTTTGGAAAGCCTGGGTGTTTACCCAAAAGCCAATCAAAGCCAGGTCTCTGCAACATGGTCGAGCACGGCTGCGGGAACATTGGGTCAGGGGTGAGAGGTGTGATGTTTGGTTTTCTTCTGGTGGAGAATGTGAGCTATTCCGGCCTGGGTTGTTTAATTTGCAGTCAAACGTGTTTCTTTATCCGGCTCCAAAGAGGCTCGGAGAAGGACCCACCCAGGGTAGTGTTTACCCTTTGTTCTTTCCCTGGGGCCAACCTTGAATCCTTATCAGCCTGTTTGGAGTAAACAGGTACTGGAGGCAGGAGGAAGGGTGTGGAGGATGCTTGTGGGATCTCTCCTTCTCTCCCTCCTGCCGGCGGGAGCTGTTTACCCAAGCAGACCTGTTTTGTTCTGGAGTTGAGGTTTGTTTTTTTTCTTCTCCTCCTTTTTCTTCCCTCCCCGTCCGTTTTACGTTTGATGGAGAGCTCTGGAAAAGCCGAGCGGGGCCATGAGAAACAAACCCATGCGCTCAGGTCTGGAGCCGGACCCAGGCACCTGCCCCAACGCCCAGGCAGTGGCCGCGGGGGCTCTGCTTGGGGTCCGTCGAGCCAAGAGCGCCCGCCCCGAGCCCAGCTCCCCCCAAGAGCTGGGCAGCCCCAAAGCAGCCCTCGTGCAGGAGCTTTCTGGGCTTTGAGACCCTGACTCAGGGCAGCAGCGTCCAGCTTTGCCAGCACCGATAGCACCTGCAGCTCTTTTCATCCCTTGGTGCTAGACATGCTGGAAATCCCCAAGGAAATATGGGGGGGAACGCAGAAGCCCAAGGAGGAAAGGACCCATCTGCCTGCCCCCAACAAGCTCCAGCATTCACGAGCACCGGTGGGAAATCGCTCGGCCGGATCGGGCTGACACACAGCCAGCCCAGGACCCGCGTTACCTGTTGCAGCATTATCGCCTGCTGCTGCTGCAGGAGGGCCTGGAGCTGGGGCGGCGAGAGGATCTGCTGCATTTGCTGCGGCGTGATCATCTGCGGGGACATCATGGCCACGGACACGGGGACCTGCGGAGAGGAAGGACACGTCACCACTCCCAATTCCAACCCTGGAAAACCCTCCCCAAATGCCAACAGCCTGCGAGTGCCTCCCACCCCCCAGGCTCTCCCGGGGCATCCTCTGTGCCCCCCATCCCTGCATCACCTTCAGGTGAAGCCCTTGGCCACCAGTCTGTCCTGGCATGTCAGGGACACTGCTGGGGACATGCCCATGGCAGGGAGACGCCCTGCGGTGCAGCTGGCACCGGGGCAAAGCTTCCTAAACCATGAGCTCCCCCCACCCCAAGGGCAGGATGCTCTCTGCCCGCAGGGTCTTCTTTAAATGCAATTTAGCTGGGGGCATTGGGCATCGAGAGGAGCCAGCGGCACATGGGCAGGCAGCTCCAAACCACAGCTCCCTCCCCTCCTGCGAGCACGGGAAAGGTGCCGGGCACCGCTCCTTCCCTCGGGGTCCCGGAGGATGCAGGGAGGAGGGAAACACCAAGGGAAGCGGGGAAGATACCAATCACCCAAATAACTTTGTAAAGCAGAGCACGGAGGAAGAGGTTACCAGGTTTTCCATAGACACATCAAAGCTTTACCTCCAGTTGACACCAGTAACTCACATAATTACCATGCCAAGTGGAGAGAGGACTAAGAAAACCTGCCAACCCCTGCCTTTGGTTATCATAACACTGGTCCACACCCCCACAGCAAAACGCTGGAGAAGGTGTCGGTGATGGATCCCAGCCCCGCCGCTCCTGCTCAGGTGGAGCAACGCTGCCTTCCCAACCACCACCATCAAGAGCTGCCTTGTCCCAGCCCTCCGCTGATCCCACCAGCCCAAAGCCCTTCCCAAGGCTCTGACCTCAGAGACCAAAGCACAGAGAAACAAAGCAACCGGCTCCAAATCACCCAGCAAAGTCCAAATGAGAACCCGGTGCACGCCAGCACCTCCTGCCCAGGACCCCGAGCGATGGCCACGCTCCTGGGTCTGGACCTGCTGCCCACCCTGGGGGCTGCCTCCCCGCTCCAGCCACCCCGACAGGGCACGGAGCGGGGACGGAACCCCAGGGCCGGCCCCGCGCAGTCCCTCCCGTCCATGGCAGGCGTCCGGCCGGGCTGGAGCACGCTGACCTTCAAGGGAGATTGCAAAGGCTTATCTGTTTACTCAGGCATTTTGCTGGAGGGAGGCGTCGCAAGCGGGCCGAGTTTCATTTGTCACCGGTGATCCCCCCTGCAGCCTCCTTCGTGTCAGAGTTATTGATTAATTGCTGCGTGTTCACACCCAGGGGCTGCTGCTGGGGCGCCTTCGACTGCACTGGCTTGGCTGGCGGCGGAGGGCGCAGGAGGATGCAGGAGCATCCCCGGCAAAGAGCGGCAAAGCCCTGCAAGGGCTCCGGCACCCGCCGATGCCTGACGGAGAGCCAGGAGAACCCCAAGCACCCCCCGCGGACCTGACACCGGTGAAAAGCTGCCGTTTGGGCGGTCAGGTGCTCGCAGACAGCTGTGCAAAGCCCTCGGCGAACATCTGGGAAGGAGGGAAGCTCGCAAGGACGGCAAGACGAGAGCGAGCGGGGTGCGCGCCCGCTTGCTGGGAGCTAAGCATCCTGCTAATTTCCCTTTGCCAATTCATCAGCTGGCAACGTGCTCGGAATGAGAGCCCCTAATTAACTGCTCATCCACATCCCCCATCCGGGCGGTCTCCCCGCCCCCACCGCCGCTGTGCGGCCTCTCGTACACGTTTGCTGGCATTTTCAAATCGGAGGCATCCTAATTACCGGAGAGTTATAACACCTTCCATTTCTCGCCCAGCGGACTGACACCCTGTCAAGAGCAAAGAGAATTGCCAGAGGTTTTGACAACACTAATTGCCCCTATAATCTAAAAACACAAAGGAGAGGCGATCAGTCGAGAGGGCCCCAGCTCTCGATCCGACACGAGGTTTTCACAATGTTACAAGAAAACAAAAGTGACGCTTTTTAGAGTTTGATGGCTGCTAACAAAAGCAGAATTATATTTTCATACAACCTTTGTCTGCATTAAATGGCTTTTTTCTTCTGCGCTTGGATGCGGAGCTGACATGGGGAAATGGCGGCGGCTTCATGAGGGGCCGAGGTGTGAATGGGGTGAACTGGTGCCGGCTCTTGCGAGGGGCGCCTGGGCTTCGCTGCCTCCCTGAGCCCTGATGGGTGCCGAAGCTCCACAAAGAATTTCCCCCCAATGTGGAAAACGTCTCCCTCCCAGCTAAGGTTTCCAGGGAGGGCAGGAACTTTCTCTAGTAAAAGGGAAAATTCCCATATACAGCAAGTTTTGCTCCCGCTGCGGCCATTCATCACACGTGCCAGGTGCCGGGGCGGCTGCAGCGCTGCCGCCAGCGGCTGGCTTGACCCTGGCGCAGGGCGGCAAACCGCGGTGCTGCGGTTCTCTGCCCCGGGCTCCGGTGACAGCCCCAGCTGCCTCTGTCGGGGACGGTGACAGCTGCTGCCCCAGCAAAACGAGATGGGGATGGCAACGTCTGCCCCCAGCCCGGCCGAGAGCCCCACGGGGGCACCCGCCAGCAGCTGATCTGCTAACGGGGAGGGGGACGGCACGGCGTGGCCCCCCGGGACGCCGAGGAGCGCAGTTCAGCCCCTTCACCTGCAGCCACGGCACTCGGTGACCGCTGGTGTGCAAGCTCCCCCACGGCAGGGGACGAAGCCAGCTTGGCATCCCCGGATAACAGAGGGGCTTTGGGCAATGGTGCCTCAAAAGCTCGGATCCAGGCAGTCAACAGCACAAACGAGACCCAAAGGGTGCCAAGCAGAGCGGCACAGGGGATACAAGGGGTTAGCAGCACCCGCTTCCTCCTCTCCATCCCCTCCACCCAGCAACAAAGTCCCTCCCCAGGCACCAGATCAGCTGGGGACTGTCCTTGCACGCAGCGGTCGCGCTGCACCCAGCAAATCCCTCGGGAAGCAGGTCCCAGCAGCCAGCCCCGCAGCAGCGGCTGGGCCCCCGCCGGCGCGTCACGAGCTGGCATCTGCCAGACTGCGAGTCAGGAAGGGTTTGACTCACTGCTTGGCCAGCTGCCACTCCGCAAAACTGCTTACTAACAGCTCCGGCTGCCTCCCAGCAAGCCCCGGCACCGCGGCTCCGACCGGCGAGCGGGATCTCGAGGGGATGATTTTCCCGGTTGTAATCCCTCCATGCCAGAGGATGGGGCGGACGCGGATCATCAGGCAGGGAGTGGAAAACGAGACGGGTATTACACGGGAAACTCAGTGCTCGGCATAAGCGCAGAGCAACTCTGCCAAAGCTGGCTGAGCGAAACAGGATTTGGCTGGGCGTAACGCAGCAGGATGGGGGAGCAAGGCTTTTATTTAAATTTTTCTTAGACTTTTTTTTTTTACGGGAAGCAGATTGCAACTCCCAGCCATGAGGCAGAGCGGGGAAAGCCACGGCCCGACGGCCGGTCTTGGCGCTCAGCGCGGCGAGGCTGCCATCAGAGGGATGGCTGCCCTCCTGACCCCCAAGACAGCTGGCTTGGAGCAGTGCAGGAGCCGGGACATCCCCCATCAGCCCGGGGAGCATGAGCAAGCCCGCGGTTTGCTCAGGCTCCAAGCATCCCTGCACCGACCTTCACCTCCCAGCCGTGCCGTCACCCATGCTGGGAGGTTGCCGCAGGAGCCGCCATGTCCCCGGGGAGCCGGGTGCAGCACGCTGCCACCACTATGGGAAGGAGCATCTCCAGGTCCACATCTAAAACCACGCATTCAAGCTCCCGTGCCAGGGCAGGCGCAGCCCAGACCTTGTCCCCCTGCATCCCCGCTGACCCCGGGGGGCTCTGGGGCCGTCGGGATGAGCAAGCCTCTTCCTGGGGTGGGTGTCCGCCAGCTGCCTGGGGTGTTCGATGCTTCCCGCAGAGCCCAAGGCGCTGCACATCCTTGTTTCTGATCTAATCTCAGGTTTTAACTCCCAATTAGAAACAACAGCAAACATGTTTGTGCTGTTTTTCTTTTTTTTTTTTAAACAGCCTTTTCAATTCCAAAACCAACAGAAACAAACCAGGGAGGTTGGCGAGGGAGGGCAGGAGCCAGGAACAGAAGCAGGGAAACAACCACCACCAAGAGCAGCTTCGGGTCTGCTGTTTTTAGGGGCAGGGGATGAGCAAATCTCCCCTAGAGCACCCACTTCTCGCCGCTGCAGCTGGAGGAGAGCAAACCTTTCACTTAGAGCCCAGCCAAAGCGCGCAGGCACATCCACGCATCCCCTCCTGCACTCAGCATCCCCGGGTGAGCTCCGAGATTCAGCTGGCTCAGACCGTCTGCAGGAGCTTCAAACGCCCGGGGCCAGGCAGTGATGCCACTCACATCGGCGTAACCCCAGCCATGGTTTATAGACCCCGATGGGTGGCACAGGGCCACCCAAACGCTGCTCTACCCCCGCCTCCGCTCACATCACACTGTGTCTGGACCTTACCATGATGGGACAGAGACGACAGACCAAAATCTACCCAGGGTCAGAGGAGAAACCAAACCCAGATCTGCAAGGGAGCTCCAGCTCCATGTGCCAGGCTGTGGTGTTATTTTATGAATACTTTGAACAGCCTTAGCACCAAAGGAGTAACTGCCCCGGGTGGTGGTGGCAGGAGGAGGGCAGCAGCACAGGGTGAGCAGGCGAGCAGGTGCCGGCGTAGCTGCGTGGAGGACAACAAGCCTCTGGCGTTCAGCTACACGCAAAGAAAAGGAGGAATCAATCCCCTGCATGTTCAACCCAACGTGCATCCTCGTTAGCGCAGCGAGCCCCGCCGGGGAGGCACTAATCGCGCATAATTGGGCTGCAAGTCACTAAAAGTTGAAAGGGACGGGGGGACGCTCGCGGCAGAAGCACTGGCGCGCTGGAGCGCTCGCTGCCTGGCAGCCCCTTCCTCGGCACGGCCCTGCTGCGGCTGGGGCTGAGCCGCTGCCCCCGAGCATCGCCTGGGCAGGGTCCCCAGGGGCCACATCTCCTCTGTGGGCACTGGGTGCTGGCACGGCTCGTCATGCCGATGAAACCTGCAGGGACTGAAGGGACTCCTTTGCTCCTCTGTTAACCCAAAATGCCGTTGCTGCCGTCGCGGCGGCGGGGACGGCGGAGCGGGATGGCGGCGGTGGAAAGGGGCTACGGGCTGGCAGAGGCGGGGGCTCTGGGAAGGAGGAGGGGGAGCGGCGGGGACGGACGGCGGTGCTGCAAGTTCAAATGGAAAAATCTAGCGCCGCGCGAGCAGAGATGGACGGGCTGCTGTATTTTTTCCTGGAGAGGGAACGCAGAAGGGCTGGTATTGATCTGTCTTCATTACCCATTTCACTCAAGTTTCAAATCAACAAAATACACTTTTCCGCTCCGCTGCCCTCCCCGCCGCAGCAGACAAAAGAAAAGCAATTTCCCGCAGTTTGCACCAAACTCCTCTCCCCTTCCCTCAGCGCCCTTCAGCCCCTCTCCCGTTTCAGAGGCTTTTTATCCTCAGCAAGTTGCTCCCGCCAGAGGCTGGGAGACCCCCGGCTCCAGGGGCTGCACTGGGAAAGGGACCCCAAAAAGGGCACCCTGTGATTCAGCGGTGCCTCCAAGCCAGAAATGCCCCGGCACCAAAAACACGGGGTGCTCCCTTTCCAAACACGCTCCAGCACCTCGTACCACGGGCTTTACGGGATACCGGCAACATCTCCCGTGGCGGCAGGATCCCGGGGGGATCCGCTGCTCCCGACCAGCCTCGCACAGGAGAGGAGCGCCCTGCAGACCATCTGCAGCAAAAGTCCTCAAATGCAACACTTTGTCAGTATCTGCCAAGTTTCTAAGAGTTTTAAAGTTGCAAAGAAATAAAACTATTTTAAAATGTTTCAGGGTGGGGTTTTTTTGGCTTCTTTTTTAGATGCAGCTATAATTCGAGTGTCAGCTGTGAGGCTCTCCATGCACAGCTACACCTCCAGGCATCTGGGGGGAGAGGGTTCATACTCCAAAAAAAAGAAAAAAAAAAAAAAAAAAAAACCCAACAGCCCTCGGCACCCCATAAACGTCCCGTCCCTGTCAGCAAGGTGGCAGGGAGCCGCTCGCTGCAAATGCAAGCGCTCCTGGGTGCGGGGGCTCCTGCTCTCGCTGCCGCCGTGGGGACCCTCCTGCTCGCTACCTGGGACTGGGGGCTGGGAGCCGGCCGGCGGAGAGCCGAGGGGAGGCCACTGAAACAGCTTCCCCCCGAAATACCCAAGCGATGTGGAAATCCAGTCCGCAGCCCCAGGGGACTGCGGTGCAGCTGCATCCCTACAGGCAAAGCCCGTGGGGGTCTGGGCTGGCGAACCGAGGGCACCCCGGGTCCTAACAACCGCAATGAACCCCCCGGTCCTGCTGTGCTCCCCCCCTCCCTCCGCAGCCAGGGGCTGCTGCGCTGGGACCCAGCCTTCCTCCTCCTCCTCCTCCAGCCGTCCTGGCCAGTCTCATCCACACCACTCTGCCGTTAGATAAACTTCCTTTCAAAGGAGTCTGCTTAATCCTCTATCTCCCCTCGGTCAGATCCCGCTCCAGCTGCTGGCCGGGCTGGCGGGGCGGGGAGGAAGAGGCCGGTCACTGCTGAGTTATGAGCTATTTCTGACTCACGTCTACAACTTTCACAAGTCCTTTTGCAACACAGAAAGGGAGGAGGGGAGAGGAAAGCAGATCCAGTTCACTCCGGCAAAGGCGCTGGCCAGATGGGCAGGGAGGGGAGGTGAGAGAAAGCGGCAGAGCAGAGGGGAATGGGATGTTAAGCAAGCAGCAAGCAAGCGAAGCACGCGTGCATCGCAGCCAGGGGAAGCGGCAGAGGGAGCAGCAAGGGATGGGCAGCAGAAGTGCAGGCAGGAGGAGCGCGGGCAGGGACAGGCACCCACGGAGGGGAGCGAGGCGCTGGTTACCGGAATCTGACTTCACCCTTGCTGCCTTTGTCCTTCACAGACATTTTCCATGCAGTGACTGCATTTCCTTCCTGCGAGCACCACTGGAAAAAGCTGCCTTGTTTGTGCCGCAGAAGCCCTGACTAATT